AAAAAAAAAAGACAATGTTTTGGGCTCAGCACCTTTAGCTTAGCAGTTGGCACTGGCCACATGCACCGGGGCTGGTGGGTTCAACCCTGGCCCAAGCCTGCTAAACAAACAAACAACAACAAAAAAAGACAATTTTTGAATGTGTTTAGGGGGTTAGAACATGATGAAGACAGATAAGATATGAAGATTAAAAAACATAGTTATATGGAACCTTTAGAAATGAAAAATTGAATATCCGAAACAAAAATTTCTTTGGATAGTATTAACGGCAGATTAGGTTGGGCTTGGTGGCTCACACCTATAATCCTAGCATTTGAGGAGGCTGTGGTGGGAGGTTGCCTTAAAGCTAGGAATTCAAGACGAGCATGGCAAACACAGCAAAACTGAATCTCTGCAAAATTAGCCAGTCATAGTGGTGCACACCTTTAGTTCCAACTACTTGGGACGAGGATCACTTGAGCCCAGGGGTTTGAGGTTGCAGTGAGCTATGGTGATGCCACAACACGATAGCTTGGGCAACAAAGTGTGAACTGGTTATCAAACTAAACCAACAAAAAACCCTACAAATTAGTACCAGTATTGCAGAAGAAAGACCAATGAACTTAATATAATAGTAACTATGTAAAATGAAGCACAAAGAGAAAAATGACTGAAAGAAAAATAAACAACAACATCAAGCAGTCTAACAAGCCTGTAATTGAAGTCCCAGAAGGGGAAGCGAGGAGACAGAAAAAATATTTGAAGAAATATTGGCCAAGGCTCGGCGCCTGTGGCCTATGATTCCTGAGAGAAAGAATTCAAACTCATCTTTATTCTAGCTTTATGTAAACAGGTAATTTTCAGACCATGGTGCAAGGAGAGGGTACCCAGGCATAATCTTGCTGAATTGAGGAGACAGAGAACAGAATTTGGGGGGGCCAAGGGGACTAGATTTTCCTGGAAGGGAGCTCTGGAGATTGAGGACTCCCCAGAAATTTGCATGGTAGAATACCATTCTGTGCCTGAATGGGATAAAACTCTACAAAGCCAAAGAACAATTTCAGAGAAAAAACTGTTAGCCAAACCATTACTAGACCTCAGTTGTGGCTGGTAATAATTCAAGTTTCTACAGGCCAAAATGGGAAGACCTGATTAGATACATAGGGTATACAGTAGAGACCCCAGACATTAGTAATGGGGCTAACTAGCTCCCAAAATAAAGGTTATTCTGTATTTGTTCTAACAAAACTTAAAAGCTGATCTGCAGGCTCAGTGCCCATGGCTCAGTGGTTAGAGCGCTGGCCACATACACCAGGGCTGGAGGGTTCAAACCTGGCCTGCTCCTGTTAAACAACAGTGATAACCACAACAAAAAAATAGCAAAACTATTATGTTTTGCTGTTTGGTGTTGTGGTGGGCACGTATAGTCCCAGCTACTTGGGAGGATGAGGCAGGAGAATCGCTTAAGCCCAAGAGTATGAGCTTACTGTGAACTGTAACACCATGGCATTTTACCGAGGGCAACATAGTGAGACTTTGTCTCAAAAAAAAAGAAAGAAAAGCTGATCTGCAGCCAACCATCTACCAGAACAAAGTCCAACCTTTTTCAAAGGACTACAACAAACTCTAGCACCTAGTATAAAATCATTAGACTTGCAAAGAGACAGGAAAGTGTGACCTATAACCAAGAGAAAAAAAATCAATCAGTAAAAACAGACTCAAAAGTGACCAAGATGATGGAATTGACAGATACAGACATTAAGACAATGTTTTGG